TCCTGCTGATTTTTCTTAGATATTTGGCATTGTACTTACAGCAATGTTAAGTACTTGTGTGCAGAAATTGCAGAATGGGTGAGGTTGGAAGGGACCTCTGGAGGTTGTTTTGTCCAACCCGGTGCTCAAGCAGAGCTGCCTATAGCTGATTTCCCAGGACCGTGTCCAGGTGGTTTTATAATATCTCTGAAGACAGAGGCTCCACAGCCTCTCTGGGCAACCTGTGCCAGTGCTCTGTCACCTTCACAGTGAAAAAAATGTTTCCTGATGTTTAGGAGAAACCTCCTGTGTTTGGATTTGTGCCCAGTGCCTCTGGTCCTGGGCACCACTGTCACTGGTAACACTGAAAAGAGCCTGGCTCTGTCCTCCTTTCACACTCCTCTCAAGTATTTATGTACATTTGTACATAATGTACAGGGACTTCTCTAGGCTGGACAGTCCCAGCTTTTTTGGCTGTTTCTTATAGGAGAGGTGCTTCAGTCCTGTAATCATCCTTGTAGCCCTTAGCTGGACTGTCTCCAGTGTGTGCATGTCTCTTGTATGCAGACTCCAGAACTAGACATGGTACTCCACGTGGGCCTCAGCAGTGCTGCTAAGGACCACACCCTTGACTTGCTAACAGCGTTCTTCCTAATGCAGCACAGGACACAACTGGCTTCTTTTGCCACAGGGACTTAGTGCTGTCTTACGGTCCATCAGGACCCCTAGGTCTTTTTCTGCAAAGCTGCTTTCCAGTTGGGTGGCCTCCAGTGTGTGCTGGTATTTGGCATTGTTCCTCTCCAGGTACAGAACTTTGCACTTTCCCCTGGTAAATTTCATGAGGTTATAGAATCATAAAGGTTGGAAAGGACCTTCAAGGTCATCAAGTCCAACCTACAGCCCTACACCACCCTAACACTGAACCATTTCCTGAAGAAATGTTGGTAAAGAGTGAAGCAAAGGAAGCATTCAGTATATCAGCCTCTTGTGTCCCCCAGGTCCCCAATCTTTTGAGCAATGGACCTAGATTTTCCCTAGTTGTCCTTGTGTTGCTTAGTGTACTTCTATAAGCCCTTCGTGTTGCCTTTTACGTTGCTCGCTGGATTCAATTCCTTTTGGGCTTTACATTTCCTTACTTTGTCCTGGGATGCTTGGATGATGTTTCTGTATTCCTCCTAAGGTTGCCTTAGGAGGGTAACCTCTGTACGCTTCCTTTTTGTGTTGGAGTTTGACTAGGAACATCTCCTTCATCTATTTTTGCCTGACTTCATCTTCATTGGGGTGGAGCACTCTTGAGCTTGGAGGGGATGATCATTGAATAGTACCAGGCTTTCGTGGGGTACCTCTGTGCTCCAGGGCCTTATCCCACAGGACTCCTCCAAGCGAATGTTTGAAGACACCAAACTCTGTTCTTCCCAAGTCCAGGGTTGTGAGCTTGTTTATCTTCCTTCCTGCACTCAGGATCCTGAACTCGACCATCTCAAGGTCATTGCAGCCAAGGCTGTCTTTGACCTTCACATTCTGAACAAGCCCCTCCTTGTTGGTGAGTATGAAGTCCAGCAGAGTGCCTCTTCTTAGTGTCTCCTCTGTCACTTGGAGGCAGAAGTTATCAGCACAAGAAGGACGTGGACGTGTTGGAGTGGGTCCAGAGGAGGGCCACAAAACTGATCAAAGGGCTGGAGCACCTCTCCTACAAAGACAGGGAGGAGGTGAGGTTCTCGAGCCTGAAAGAGGAGGCTCTGGGGAGACCTTATAGCAGCCTTCCAGTAGTACTTGAAGGGGGCCTACAGGAAAGCTGGGAAGGAACTGTTCACAAGGTTGTAGAGCAACAGGGCAAGGGGCAAGGGCTTTAACCTAGAGCAGGGTAGATTTAGATTAGCCATTAAGAAAAAGTTCTTTACAGTGAGGGTGGTGAAACACCAGAGCAGTTGCCCAGAGAGGTGGTGGAGGCTCCCTCTGAGACATTCATGGTGAGGCTTGATGGAGCTCTGAGCAACCAGATGTAGTTAGAGACATCTCTGTGCACTGCAGGGGATTTGGACTAAATGACCTTTAAAGGTTCCTTCCAACCCAACTCATTCTATGATTCTGTCATCAGTGCACTCCAGAAACCTCCTGGATTGCTGTCGTGCTGTGTTGTCCCTTAGGGAGCTATCAGGGCGGTTAAAGTGCCCCCATGATGGTGAGGGCCTGCAAGTTTGGGGCTTTTAATGCTTCTGTAGTGGTGAAAAATGTGGGAAGAGGAGTCCTGTGAAGAGAAATGCTGAACATGGAAAATAAAGGGGAAGGGATTTTAGCAAAGAGCTTTTAAAATACCGGTTTTCTGCTGAGATGACTAGTAAAATTAAAGTGGGATTTAAGATGTAGCAGCTGCTGACTAAAAGCAGTAGAGATTTTACAGTAAACTTATTTCAAGACCTTGTCCTCACAGTAAGACAGATGTATCTGCTATTATGTAAGTGTTCCTAATGTCGGTGCTCTTCGGACATCCACTGTCAACAACTTGAATATGTGCACCAAGAGCACTGGGATCCTGGGCTTTGTGTTTCAGCCAGAGTTGCTCTGTAATGTCAAGACTATGGGAAACAGATAAATTCATAGATAGCAGTTGCATTTAGTTGTCAAAGTGCTGTTAATTTGAGCACTCAACATTCGGGGGAAGAATTTTGTGGAGTGGATTACTTGTTTTGTCTTCTCTCTGCAAAACTTTAAAATCAGTCTGCAGTAAAGAAAAATAGAGGCTTTTCAAGATGTTTGTGGAGTCATTCAAAAGACTCATTTTGTCATTTTATGGCAATTGTAGTGGCACTGCTTGTCTACTTAGTCAACGTGTGTTTTGGTTTTAAGAAATAACAAGACAAAGATGAACATCAGCGCCATCCCTGAAACTACTGCTGTGTAGGATATGGAGATCAGCCCTTCTCTGCCAGACATGTGGTTACACACTGCCTGGATGGGTGGTGACAGTTTGGGACTTCAGCAAATACATACATGTGGTTTCATTCTGATTCCTCTACTGGGATAGGTGTCAAGCAGGCAAATAGTAACCTGTGTGCTTAAACTCTACAATCTGTGGCAGAATTGGCATACACAGACTGATTTCCAAGACATTTTAAGTTGATTTTGAATATTCTAGCCTTGGTTTTCATAGCACTCTGAAAATCATAAAATAAAAGATACCTAAATTAATGTCTACACTTGAATGCATTTTCTGGTTGTTTTTTTTTTAATATGTTGCTATCCAGATGCTTGGAATACCTAAAATATGATTTTTGAAGAATAAATATCAATATCTAATGGTTCACTCACTGGTACGAGTTCTGTTTTGTATAAAATTTAGAAAGCTCAGCTTTTGCTCGCTTTGTCATTTCAGATTTGTCCAATATGTGCAGCATTACCTGGAGGAGATCCGAATCATGTCACAGATGACTTTGCAGCTCATCTTACACTGGAACACAGAGCTCCTAGAGATTTAATATCCTTTCCAAGCTGAGGCAAAGAGGCTAGACTGTTTTGCCTAGTAATCAGGACAGTTTGTTTTGATTTTCGTTAAAGGGTCATACCTCTGGTTTTCCTGAAACATAAGCTGCTAAAGGTCTGTATGTCAGAAATAAAAAGCTGCATTTGCAAGTTCAGAAAAGTGTAAGTACCAGGTTATGCTTGACAGTGCTTTTTGCTCTAACAGCAAAAACATCTGAAGAGCTTTGACGCTTCATTTCTCTACTTGCACTCTGTTTTATCCTGCCTGATCATAAGTCTTGATGCTATTTTACGCATCCAGATCCAGCAGTGTGCTGGAACTATTCATGACATGAAGATCCAACACAACACATTCTATAATTCTGTGATGATCTGAGAATGATTTGAGCTTAGCTGGTTTTCATGAATGATTTTAAACTTGCTTAACTTCTTCTACCACCATATTTTAGTAACATAATTTCATAATGTTACTGTCATTTTGTAAAGTAACTCGGAAAACTTTCAGATTACCTAGGAAATACGATGATGTTTTTAAAAGTTACCTTAGCAGCACGTAGGCAGATGTATCTGTGCTTGCTGGCTGAAGAGCTAGAACTATTGAAGTTTTTTATCCTGGGTTTAGGAATGTTTTTCTTTTTCTAATTTTTGTTTTCCCCCCTAGGACTAGCTGATGACATGTACTTTGGTTTGGAGGCTTTTTATTTAATGATACGCAGCTTATGTAACCTACGCACAGCAAGTAATCTCTCCGAAGTATTTCTTGAGTCTCATTTAAGCAATGTGACAAAAAGACTGCATTATCACTTTGATAGTGGCATTTTTGTTGTTTAAAGATTTTCCTTTGAAGGAAAACAAATAATAGTCTAAGCCCTAGCAACTGGAGTAACAAAAGTCCAAGCCTTAGCAACTGGTGTACAGTATGATAACAGAAGGGAGACAGAATTTAAGGAGGTGGCTCCATTTCAGTTACAATCGTGTTTTACTGCATTTAAGTTTCTTAATGTTACCATGGTTTAGGGTCAGGACAGACTAGATGCACACATTAATTACTGTGCAATCATTGGATCAAGGTAAAGGAGCTTAGGTGTTTATTGGCTCTGTAATGATTAAAAGAACACCACAAAGTCAGATAAAAGCAGGTACCTCTACTTGGCCTTTCTCAGCAGTCGGGAGGAGCAGAGTGCTGGACACAGTGGCTCTGGCCACAAGAGCTCAGTCCCAGGCATCCAGGGAGGTTCTCAATGGTCAAATGTCCCCAAGGCAGTTGTGCCATCCTCCCTTTTGAGTAGAGGTGAGATGAGACTGGGGAGGGGAGGTCATCTTCCAAGCTGTTGGATCTTTCCTGGTCTTTGGACGACTCTGAGATGTTGCTTGATGACTGGTGTGGTGAGTCACTAGACAATCTTTCTTGTATCAGTTTAGTTCTGCTCTTTCTACCAATTGTAATTTTTCATAGCGCCTGCCTGAAATGCAAAATTTACGTCCCTAATAGCTGCACACCAGTGTTCCAAAGCTGCACACAAATATTCCTGTGGACCTTTGACATTGGCTAACTTTTCTGTAGGCCAAGAAGTTTAAATTTTCCCAGTTACAAAATGAAATTAATTTCTTACTGAAAGTTACAAGACATTTGATTAGAGTGCATGCTTCTGAATGTTTTGTCTCCCTCCAGTATCAGAGGTGTCATCAGATGACTTGATTTGGGAATGTTTGAGCTAAAAAAATCAGTCTTTTCAGATACAGAATAAGGCTTCAAAGTCAGTCATCTCAGAATGGGAATACATTGTCTGTGATTGACCGTTAAAGACAACACGTATAGAATTTTCTGCTTGTACACTATTGCTTTGGTATTCAGTGTTACCAAGTCTTCAAAACCTGGCAAGAAGCATAGCTCGAGGTGACTGTTCCTACTTTGAGCTCTGTGTCACATCTAGCAACAGGCAGGTGTAATGTGGGGAAAAAAGGAAGAGGAGATACCCCCCTTTCATCCAGCGTCTGGCAGTGTAGGAACATGTCTAAGCCAGGGAGCTGTTGGAGAGCTGCTCTCTGATACCATTATTTTGTTGTTCTGAATATCTTCATAGGAAGTTAATGGTGTACTGAACAACGTTCCATGATCTGTTGCAACCTTCATGTGCAAAAAAGAGATAAAGCTCTCTACAGCGAAGATTTTTTGTTACGATTTGATATAAACTCTTTTTTTTTTTTAGTTGAGTCTGCTTGGGTTCAGAGGAGTGGTCTCATCTTCCAAGTATTGATTAGTATGTGTGGTTTATTTTGGTTTTGGTTTTTTGATTGGGTGTTTTTTTCTTATTTTGTCCCAGAGGGCTGCATTTATTTCTTGTTATGTACTTTGTGCAGCCATTGGAAGGTATGTCGTTTATTCCTACAGTCTGGGGATGACTCTTTTAAACTCAATTTCTTTAGCAGGAAGATATTTGAAAAATTATTAAATGCAGCTTTTCAGCATCAATCATACAAATGCTTCTTCTGTGGCTGTTCACTTTACATGTTTGTCACAAGTTAAGGTTTAAAAAGATTTTTCATATTCTAGCATAGCTGGTAAGACTGGGGTGCACACTTAGCTAGTATTTAAACAATGATGTTTATCTGAAAATGCTTTAAAAGGTGCAGTTAGGAAAGTTACCCCACAGTCCTGTGTCTGCTTGAAAAATCCCTAGATGGTAGTTTTTTCTGTCGAGTCTAGGTAGGAAGAGCTTGCCACACTGCACAGGGGCAGTCACCCATCTAATACAGGATCTTCTCTCCGGTAGCATCTTGTTTTAGCCAAAGTGTGTTGTGTGCTGGGGAAGATTTTCCTCTTGCACCCTAGATATTAGGTGTTTTACACTGTAGCATAACTAATAGATTCGAAAGAGGCAAATACTGTTTAAAAGCTTTATGAGACTCGGAGGTTTTGTCTTGCCCTGAGAAGTCTAGCTGTTTCTTTCAGTCTGAAGTTGACCTCTATGACATCCCGAGGTTCTGCACCATAACAAGTACATTGAACACTGTTCCTGTACAGAAATGGATGCCATACAAGTGGTAAGCATATTATTATAAAAATAAGGAACATGGGAGATAGGAAGGTCTAATAAGCTAAAAGTCTAGCAGCAGTAAAATGAAATACTCAAGCCTACACTATTTCATTTTGCACTAGTAGATCATACTAGTGATTTTCAAAACAAAAGGAAGGATTATCTGGACTGTCTTGGAGGAAAAAGTATTAACAGCTTTCTGACAAAAACAATCTTTAAATTTGTCAGTTTATATGAGAAAATGTGTAAAAGGTGTGTCTTGACATGTAAGTGTCTGGTATGGAGAGGTGAGGAAGATGAAAGGCATCCTTGTCATAACCGGGTCTAGGGGTATTTCTTTGGCTAAAAGACGAAAATCGAAACAAAGGGGTGTGATGAAAGTGCTGAATACTCCTGAAATCTGCAGTTTCTTAAAGATTTAAGCGATGAAATTTATTGGATAAAACCATGAAGTACAAAAGGAATACAGTAATCATTATGTACTTTTGATAGAAACAGTAACAAACTTTTTTATTATTTAAATATTTAACATAAGAATTGGAGAGGGAAAATAAAATCCCTGTGTCCCCATGATAGGATTGGCTGAACATGCATTTGTCAGTTTTCAGATTAATGAGTACAAAACTTTGATCTAAAAAATCCTAAGAAATTAATCCTGATGTTTCTTAGACATCATAAAAAAAGCTGGAGAGATCTGATGTACACAGAGTTCAGACGGGTAGATCAGACTTGCACTGTAGCTACAGTGTACCTTAGGTTTGCTTCAGAAGTTAAATCATTTTATGAATGAAGAACAGTGTGTGCCTGGGTGTTTCACCCATCAAATGTCCTTGTCATTTAATCCTCAATGCCAGCCAGTTCTGTTTTCTTAACTTCGTGGTTACGACGAATCCAGTGGTGTTCGGCACGTACGTAGGATGTTCCACCCAGGCCGAGGTTTGGGAGGCCCCCGTGCACGTAGATCAAACATGCACTTTACTACCAGTTCCCCTGGTGGGCTTTCATCTTCTCAGAGTTCGTATTCTCCAAGCAATAGAGAAGCCATGGATCCTATAGCTGGTAAGAGCTGTAAGCATGAATTTTACCCCAGTACCCTTCTTAAACAGAGGAATTGAAGTGAAAGGTAATGATACTTGCCCTGCCGTCCGTTCCTTTGAAGCTGCCTATATAGCTGCACCCCACAGAGCAAGTGTGGTTGGTGGCAGCCCAGGGGTGAGCAGGGTAGAGATGCTGGAGCTGAAGCTGCTGCCTGTAGCTTTTGCTTTTATTTCTAGACCTAATCTCTCTGGCTTATTGCTACATCTGATCTGTGCACAGCTGTAGTATTTTTTTTTTTTAACAAGTGATTGTGTCTAACTAGCATCACCTACTTTAGTACATCTCATTTTGTATTTGCCATGTGCATAAAGGTGTTTATGGAGGAGTGTGTCTGTCGCAGTGAAGATTAAGTTAGCTGAAATTTACTATTAATGGGCATTTAAAATACAGTCAGATTGCATTCAGGCTGCTATTTGAATGCCAGATTTGCTAGTATCACAGTTCTGTGGCTTTTTTTAGGTGTACTTGTAAATTCTTTTATAAATGTACTGGTGCAAGTATTGCAGTATATTTTTGTCAAGTTTAGAAAAAATGTGGGAGACGGGGGAAGGGTTTCGCTGGTGACTTCTTCAGAGGGAGGGAGCTGGCCAGTTTAGTGAGGCTCTGCCCCCAGAGAGAGAAGCTGTGGCTCCACTGCCTTCCTTCTGTTGTGGTCCTCTTGCCTGCCTTCTGCTGGCTCTGGTGCTCTGCCAGCCTGCCATGACCTGACTAAATTAGCTGGGAAGAAGTATCCCATCAAGAGAGGAAAACAAGTTATGTCAGGTCACAGGAGAGTTTGAAGGGGACTGGAGTTTGCTCAACGAGGGAGGATATTTGTGAAGCCTCTGGTGCCAGGCCTTGTCTTTCTCTTACAAGGGTAGTGAGTTCAGCTCAGCTAAATGTGGAGGGGTTGCTGAGGTTTTTCCGCCTCCCAAGGCCTTCCCACTTCGCAGCATGAAATGTGGGATAAAATGGCAATCTTCTGAATATTTCCTATTTTGGTGGAAGCTGAGTTTTTTGCATTTGGAGTTCAGCTGTATACTGAGCTAAGTGTCCTTCTAATACCTTCCTATTGTCGTGTTCATACCTTCTCATTCACCTTGGAAGGAAAATAAAATCACTGGCCAAAGCTAAATTGAAGTAGTTTAAAGCTGTTTTAACTTGAAGTTTGAGAGAGCTGCTGCAGAGGACATAATTTGCCGGGTGTTCCCTGTAGATTGTCTCACCTGGTATTTTGAAGGCATTAAACTTTGACTTCTTACTTGGAATAAATCTGCAAAAATGAATCTTCATCTTCCTTACCCTTTCAGACATTGAATGCTAGGACTTCTTTCAAGGGCTCCCAGGGCTCTTTGGCATCACTTGTTCTTTAACTTTATTGGCTGAAAAAAGAAATTGATGCACTGGCATTCAGGGTGTATTTGTTCTGTTGTGTCATGCTCATTTAAGCTCTTTCATCACAGAAACCTTCTCTTCTCTGGCAGAGCTTTTATCTCAGCTATCAGGCGTGAGGCGTTCTGCAGGAGGACAGCTCAACTCCTCTGGCCCTTCTGCTTCTCAGTTACAGCAGCTGCAGATGCAGCTGCAGTTGGAACGACAACATGCACAGGCAGCAAGACAACAACTGGAGACTGCACGCAATGCAACTAGGCGCACCAACACGATCAATGTCAACACCACTATGACACAATCTACAACAACAGCCAACACGTCTAATACAGAAAACAGTCAGCAGACTATTCAGAATTCCCAGTTCCTCCTTACAAGGTAACTTGTTCTGTGTAGTTAACTTTCACAATTTTTGTTTGTCTCTTAGTCGTGATAGAGGTGTGGAGCTCCATGAAACTTAAGTGTTACACACACGCCCTAGTAAAGCGGTGTCTGGCCAAGTATCTCCCAGAGTTGACGGGCTAAGTAACCATACAGAGTATTTTCAAGGTAGTTGTCAACAGCAGTTGTGGAATGTGCAATACATGAAATCTGCTTCATCTACACATCGCTAGCATGGAATTGAACTGGTAATTTAGTATCCAAGAGTAGCAGTTTGTAGCTGGCCCAAAGCTGGCTTTTGAAAAGCTGGCTCTAGGAGCTGACTGCAGAAATACTCTGTGGTGGTCTAGTGTTTGCAAAAAGAGGAGGCAGTCTCACAAGTGAACTGTGTGTTTGATGCACACAGAGCATGTCTAAAGTATTAGACTGGATTTCGGCAAACGTTGAAAAGGAGGCTGGTTTTGAGTTTTAGCTGAGTAAGTTACGACTCCAGGCAGAGGACTTGTGCCAGATCCTTCATCGAGTCTGTAGCCAAGATACTGTGCTTCTTTTTTTTCCCCCTTGCATCTTAACATCTTTTCAGACTGTCTGTCTGCTCCTCAGCAGTGGGTAAACATGAGCTGCTGCATCTCAACTTCAGGAGGAACCAAAGGAGTGTTTCGTAACTAAGTTGTGCTTTTTTTCCCCTACAGCTTCCAAAAGAAAAAGTGCATTTCCAGTGGTGCAAGCATATAGAGCCATAATGGAGAGGAAGAGTCAGAATAGTATTGTTTAAGAGGAAACTAAACTTTAGTAAAAGGTTGAATAGAGGTTTATATATTAATTATTTTAGAGACTAGATAACAAAGCAAATAAAGGATGCAGTTAATTAAAAGAATGCTAACCTGACTTAGATCTCGGGGTTCTTCTAAAGAGTCACCCCCTATGTCTTTCCAGTTCTTTTAGAAGGCTGGATATTGAAGTGAAGTAAAAATGTTTTCCACATCTCCACTGCCACATCCCTCTATACATCCTCTTGTTTGTCTGTTCAGTGTTGTGAAAGTGTGTGGGCGTTTAACAGCTCCTCTGTCAAGACACCTGGATTTGTGTCAGTCAGATTTTTATCTGTGCAAAATAGTAGCACGTGACATCTTTCAATCAGAAATGGAGAAACTTCAATCAGAGTACCTGCAAGTCTCACAGACTGTGACTTTCAGAATTGTAGTGAACAATTTCCTTACCTATAACCTAGGAGAAGCGGTGGAATACATGCTGCATCGTGCTTTGGGAACCCCTAGGCTTCACACGTGCAGTAGTGCATTTTGTGGCATATGTGGACTTGGGAGTTGGCCTGGAAACCAAAGAGGCACGCAGTGAGAGTCTGTGAATCACAGCAGCTGTCCCTGAAAGACTCCTGAAGAGCAGGAAGCTTCACAAATAGATTTTTATTTAATTTGTCTTCCTCTAGGTTTAGGCTCCTACTCTGAGTGCTGTTGTAGCAATGGGGAAAGGGTGTCGGAGGGTGCCAGAGCTGTGCATGTCGAAGGGCAAGCAGGACTGTCCTGGGGGAGTGGTTTCTGAGTGCCTGTCAGCACTGGTCGGTACGTCTGCAGTGCAGTGGGCGTTCACCAACTGCCTGTCTTCTTCTCTCCTCTTCCCTTGCCGCTGTGCAGGTTGAATGACCCGAAGATGTCGGAAGCAGAGCGTCAGTCAATGGAAAGTGAACGGGCAGACTGCAGCCTGTTCGTCCAGGAGCTTCTACTGTCCACTTTGATGCGGGAAGAAAGTTCCTCCTCAGATGAGGATGAGCGGGGGGAGATTGCAGATTTTGGTGCTATGGGCTGTGTAGATATTATGCCTCTAGATGTTGCTTTAGAAAACCTAAATTTAAAAGAGAGTAATAAAGGAAATGAGCCTCCTCCACCTCCTCTTTGATGACATCCCACTTTGCAGACAATGTCCTCTGTGCTGTATTTGCCAATGAAAGTGGACAACAACTATCTTGGGTTTGTTTTGGTGATTGTAATTTCAGGTCTGTCACTCTTGTTACATTGTGTACATTCAAAGAAAGAGAGAAAAGATATATATGATAATCATTTCCACTCAACTAATTTTTACTTCTAGCAGGTAAATGTAGGTTGCAGGGCAGAGCAAAAAGGCTCCGTCCTGTGCCTTGACATGCAAAAGGCTCTCCTAATACTCCACATTCAAACTGAAGAGGAAAAAAAAAAGAAAAATCTCTAATGAAGCTGCTGTGTGTATTTATGAATATTAATGAATAAAAACTGCTTGGATGGTTTACCTTAACTACTGCATGATGTTTTTTGCAGCGTGCATGAGTTTTAGTGACCTTGTCATTTAAAAATTTAAATACAAGGAGCAAAACTATAAAAACCCAAAACTTTCCCATTATTCAGAGGTTACATGACAAAAAAGTTTTAGCGCTGATGAGCAGTTTGTGACCACAAAGTAGCTTTTGAATAATCTGTGACAGAATGACATCTTCATGTGCTGTTCCTGCACAGGATGGAGACTGCAGTGGGATATATGTTGTCGTGACCAGGGTGTGGCATTTCTCTCTCTGTGACCGTTACGTTGCCCTGTTAGCCATCACCTTGATGTGGAGTTGAACTTCATTTTATGCACCTGTAGGAGACGCAACAGTAAGGTCACTGCTGGAAGCTACTGCAAGGGGATTTTGTATGCCCTAAAATCAAATTGTGTTCACTTTTGTTTAAAGGTTTTCCGGTTTTGTGGTGGTTAAAATTTTTTTAATTGTTAAAATCTGTTTTATTCAGATGTAGACAATTCATATATTCCCTATGTTTAGAAGAGGACAAAAACCACAAAAAACAAACTTAACCTGGGTCATGTCTTAGTTGAAAAGGACTTTCAGTCTCAGTCATATTTTGAGTTATTTATGTATTTGCTTCATAGTTTGCAGAGATCGTTTAGTACCAGGAGAGCTTGAGGATTTTGATTCCCAGATTGTTAGTGTATTAAAACTGAATTCTTAATGCTAACTTCAGCACCTTTTTATTTATTGGGGGTTTTGTTTGATTTTTTTTTTTTTCTGTTATTTTTGCTGTTATAAAACAAGTTTATAAAGCCTAAGCCTCCTAGTTGAATCGTGCCACCTACATGCCTATGCTGTTAACCCTGCTGATTTGGAAGTAGTTTGGTGTTCTTGTGCATAGAAGTTTGTAATAGCCCCAAGACAAGGACAGAAGGGGTATGTTTGGCTTTGGTTTTCTTTTTTTTTTTTTTTTGGTGGTGGGTTTTTGTGTTTTGGGGTGTTTTTTTTTTTTGAAAGTAATGTTAGATGGTAAAAATGAATGTGCACACTGCTTCTGATGAAAATTTGAACTAGGCTGATGTCATAATGGTGTCTCTCCAGATCTTTCTTACGTCACCCCCTCTCTCTTTCTCTGTACCCTTCCATCTCTGCAGCATTGCTGGCGTTCTAGATTAAATTACAGACTTGAACACCAAATGGTGTTCCCAGCAGAACTGACCTGTATGCTAATCTGAAATAACATCAGAGAAACAAGCAGCCCCTTAGATGGAAGTCTAAGTTCCTGTTCTTTTTCCTTTTTTTTTTTTTTTTTTTTTTTAAATCATCAAATTCTCATTGTTTCCACATAGAGCAGTACTAGCTTTGTTTTTCTTTTAGTCTCTGCAACAGAAACTGTTTCAAGGGAAACGTTACATGAGGCCTCTGGTTATCCTGAGAGTTACCCCCAGAAGGAACTTTTTCTATTGATTGTTGAGGTTTTTAAAAAAAAAATTTCAAGCTGTAGTCTTTTCAAACACATCTTCTGCACATTACAATAAGACACACGGTTCAATAAAGCATTTTCAAGACTGTTGTTCAGTTGATTTTCTTTGTATTACCTAGACAGTTTCATTCAAAAAAATTCTGCAGCTCTCTGAGTCCAACTGTACTAAATCGGTTCATGTAGAAATCCTGAGTTGTTTACATAAACACATTTTAAACCCACATGCTTTGGTAGGTGATGAAGCTTTTCGCAGGTCGGCGAGTCCAAGTTTCCACAGAATGAGATGCATTTAAAATAGGCTTTCCTCACTGTATGGTTATTTAGAATCAGCATTTTAGAAGGTTATTTTAGAGTCAATATTTAGAAGTAGTGACGGAGGGCGGTTGCATTGCACGACTGACGTTCTGCTCTGCTTACTTTGAAGAAGATGCAAATGAGTGTTACCCGTTTTCAGTTAGAGACTGAATATATGCGGACTTCGATTAAAAGGTGTTCTTGGGCATCGCATTAACTCCTCAGTTGTTTGAGGGGTATTTTTAGGTTTAGAGGTAATATTAGTGGAAGGGGCAGGCAGTAGGGCATGGGTTTGTTGCTGGTATTTTATAGCAGTCAAAGGGGCTTGCGGACTTCTTTGAAGATGTTGAGGAACAAGTCCCACCAGACAGTCGGTGGAGAACTTAGTTGGAGTTGCACTATTTTCTGTCTGTAACTTGTGATCTGCTTTAACTGGGGGTCAGTTACTTACTTGTGTTTGGGTCAGCACCAAAGACATGCGCTTACGCCAGGTGGTTTGACAAGCAATGAAAATGCATTTTAACTTCGCTCGAGTTTTACTTGCAGCTGTTGGGCTTACCATCAGCAATTCACTGGGATGGTTAGGGTGTGGGAGTTGGCTGCATTTTGGCTCTTCTTTTTTTTTCCTTCCTCTGCCCTTAAGGAGGTTTTGTGGAATCTTCTTTCTTGGCATGGAGTCATGCTCCAACAGAGCTTGTGGACATGGGGGCTTGGCCCAGAAACCAAACACCTAGATGTGTGTGCATTTCCTGTTTCTGAGGTTCTTGTCTGGTGGGAGGGAGTAAAGGCAATTCTTTGTCACCAGTGGGAAGTCCTCGGAATCGGAAATGCTCTGATGCCGCATGGGACTCTCAGAAGACCTGGAACAGGGACACTGTGGATCCATTTGGGTATGTGAAGACTTTTCCATTTACATAACTTCATCTTCTTTCGCCCTTGATGTACCTGACCTTCACTTCTGAATACGCTTGCTTTGCCGTGCTGTTTTTTGAGGACGTTTTGTTCTTTTCGATCCCAAGGGAAAAGTTTATGTGCCTAGCACTGGCAGAAGCTTCCCTCTGCTGTCCTGTGTCTGGGGCTGAGGGACGGTCCTCTCTAGGGCGGTCCCGTGGTCCTTGCCACCAGCCCCTACAAATGCGCTGCTGGCTTCTGCTCGCAGAGTACCGTCAGTGCAAGCCTGCTCATGTTGTACAAAGGGTCTCAAGGCAGGCCTGTGTGCATAAAGATTTATTTGCTGGTGTAATGTGCACAGGGTGGTGCTCAGTTACTTGTGGGACAAAGGAAAAAATGGAAAAGGGGAACTGTAAAGGGGGAAACATCTAGCTTGTGCGTCCACCATGTGCTCTTGTGACAGTGCAGTGGCAGTTACTGCCTCCAAGATGATTATCTAATAGAGTATAAGGATAAAGACAGGATACACAGTGATAAAAGTGGCGCCGCTGCAGCTGTGTAGGAGAGGTGCTTGTGGAAGAGAACCCGCAGGGCCGCCTCCTCCCTCCCATGGTAGGGGGTAGGTTGGGCCACAGTTACCCCCACATATACCCTTCATGCACACTGTGGGGCATAAGGAAAGTGGTAAGTGGTGTCAGAAGGTGACACTGGTGCAGGAGTTTGATGTGGAGGAGCCTGAGGGGCAGGGAAGGGACACGAAGGCAGAAAGGACGGACACTGGTGTGGTTTGGGGTGGTTTTTTTTTTTTTT